TGGTAAATCTTAGGATTTACATTAATGGCACGGTAAATGTTGAAAAATTTATTTACATTTGATTGTCTTTATTTACTTCTAAACCAAATACTAAGAAAAATAATTATTAAGTTAGACTAGCTTATGTAAGCATTATGTTTGTATTTCGTAGGTAAATTCCAAATAGAGAATTACTGATTCAGTTAGATAGATATGATAGAGATTGAGATATTCAGAGATATACGTTATGTGTTTTTCAAAATAATTGAAATAAGTTGGTATTAGTTTGCACTTATTACTATCATATGATTCCTTTATAATACTATGTACATGTTTTGTCTAATAGATCATTAAAGTAAATAATTAAGAATTACTCATTGTTTTATTCCTAAAACCAACATCTACCAGCTGACAGTGGTAAAACCTAGCATATACTGAATTCGAATGGTAAAAGGTCGAAAAAATCGTCGTATTTTCAGAAATACTTACATTTACCAACTCATGTCGGTAAATCCTAAGACTTACACTTAAATCTTAAGATTAACCGTAGTTCGAGCTTTTACAGTAACATATATACGAATGAGATACACGTCACCATCAGCCGTCCCAATTTTAGTCTACTAGGTTCATTCTGACATGTATGTTTAATGCCTTTTTGATTTGGTTAAACGCGTGAATATTACGAATTTTAGACGGTAATTGATTAAATATTTGCACACCCTCATACTTAATAGACTTCTTCAAATAATTTGTTCGCGGCTTCGGCAAGATAAGCAAACTCGCTCGACGAGTATTGCGTGTAGTTCGATTTTTATACCGATAAGCTACTATGGAGAGAGTAATTTGAAATACACAACCAAAAAGAGAAATAATGGACTTAAAACCAAATTTTTTTTCCAATTCAAACCAATAGTTTTCAAGCAAATCTTGAAATCTCAAAACAAAGCCTGCCTACCCTTAAAAAAACTTAAAATCTTACTTAGGATCTATTACGAAAAGAGCCATATAAAGTAGTTAGGATAAATGGAAACAATACACTCACTCTATTGATAAATAGACGTCATGTAACGCATCATTTTGATCAAGTTAAGTTAGCTGAAGTTGCCACAATCGATGTATAAAGAATAATACAGTTAATAGAATAGTATAGATAAATTAATTATTTACCTTAAATATTATTTCACAGCTCAACTCTTGGAGAGCCCCAACGCGACCTTGTCAAGCCAATAACTTCAAGCTCGGGCCTCTATTATGATTACTTAGGGAAACTTAAAATTAATAATGTTCAACTACAAATAATAATGCCAGTAGACATTTCACATTTTAAACCGCACTTGCAAAATATCGAAGATACCCTAGTGGTTATTGAAAATCTATGTAATAAGACTCGTATCATAGAAGTTATGTCAGAATGTCATAATTTGTTACTTCCTTTAACAGCACGATTCGAAGATATGAATAGGCAATTCTCTTCTATCTCACATCTTATTGACAATAGAGTTAAACGTGGTGCCTGGGTAGGAGGTGTAGGAACCATCCTAAAGCATATATTTGGCACCTTGGACGAAAATGACGGTTTAAAATATGATGAAGCTATAACATCCTTGCAGCATGACGAAAAGCGGTTAGTTTCTCTCGTGAAGGAGAATATTTTAGTTAGTAGATCGGTATTAAAAAATTATAATGATACTATATATAAATTAAAGGATAATGAAAATAAACTTAATTCCGCTATCGACAAGCTCTCTCAAAAAACTAAAATCATTAATGAGAAAATAAACGGATTCAAAATACTCTTGAATGTAAACGAGATATTTAATATTTTGGAGACATCAATAATTACCCTATCATTCCAATTGGAGGATGTTATTAATGCTATCTTATTTAGCAGCCAAGACATACTCCATCCTGCCGTGATAACATCTAAACAGTTATATGAAGAGCTTGCTGATAACTATAGACATCTATCTAGCAACTTAGAGTTGCCAATAGCTTTAGATATTAATTCTATACATTTAATTCTAAGTATATCTAAGTTAATTTGCTATTACATTAATAATAAGATTATATTTGTTCTTCAAGTACCACTTGTTAATATTAAGGAATATATAATGTTTCATGTTATTGCTCTGCCAACGCCACATAATCCTAAAGAGCCAAATTCATTTTCTTTAACAATTCCTAGTAATAAGTATATAGCAATGACCACCGACAAATCCCAATACTGTGTTTTCAATAACTTGGAAGTTTGTAAAATGGTGAATCCTGGAAACTTTATTTGTGACATAGAAAATGTATATTCCACGGAAGCAAAACCTATTTGTGAAAGTGAACTATTAGTCAAGGTAATAAGTGAAAAACCGTTGCAATGTGATTCAACGATTATAACAGGAAAGCTTGACATTTGGCAGCCCCTAATGAATAACAAATGGTTGTTTATACAGTCAGATCCACAAAGAATATCCATAGACTGTTCAGGATCCAAATTATTTGAAACAAACATTCTAGGTACTGGAACACTCCATATACCAAAAACGTGTGTAGGATATTTCAAAAGTACTACTCTTGTACCAAAGTATAACATTTTAAATATTTCGTCACCCATTAATCATTTCCCTGATTTTAATCTTATAAATGACACATGTTGTGATTTAGTTAAGCTTAGTGATAAGGCTGATAATGTATCTCCTGTTCACTTAAACAGTATAAATTTAGACGATCTGAATTCAGAGAATAAGTTAAAATTAAATTCAATCCTTACCGACCTAGGTAAGTTAGAAACTTCTAAGCAACCTCATATTGTGGAATATGGGACACATTATTCAGCAACAATAATTGTAACTTTTGTTTTAATAATTTCATTTTTATTATATTTAGCTATTAAGAAATTTTGTAAATCCTTTTACAACCGCCCTCTTCAATATACAGAAAACCTTAATAAAACCATGACTGAACCTCCTACTGAGGACATAGAAAGTACAAAAAAGAAAAATCCCGAAATAGAAATTGTTCACCAAAGTGCTCCAATTAGAACTAGAATATAAAAGAGCCTTTAATTTTCTCACCAAAGGCTCTATCTTAAAGGGGGAGATGTTACATCCCTAGATTGCTAGCCTTAATGCTAACTCATCATCTGCATCATCAATGCATACTTTTAGAGAATTATGATCATGGTGACTTCAGTTAGTCTGCGTACATTATTCCTAGAGAGCGGTTGTCCAATTATTGTATTTTACTCATTCTCATACTCATTTAATTAAATCCTTTTTTTAAAAAGGCATTTTAATTTCACGGCCTAACAGTACCAATTCTTAAAAGGCCGCCAACGCACTCGCCTTCTGGCATTGAGAGTGTCCATGGGCATATCATTAACATCAGGTGAGCCTTCTGCCCGTTTGCCCCCAGTTAAATATATAACGAGGTGGTTAAAATTAAACGTCGATAAATATATATTTAAATACATGAAATTATACGATTACTATTAAATTCACAATTAATTTTGCAAAATTCGCTCGCTCATTTAGGTTAATTATTACGACAACATCGAAAATTATGGCCACGATAAAACGTGTAGCATTCAATTTCAATGGACAAAGGCATAACATTTCAATTAATTAATATATTTTGTAATTACGTAGAACTTTAAAAGAGTTTATCGCATTTATATCCGGTTTTGTATGAATTAAAATAGCATGTTGTGTTTACAAAGAGATTCGGAAAAATGCGTGCGTACAAAGTTCACATGTCACAAGTGAAACTTCTTTGGCAAACAAATTTTTAAGTCTTGTTCATATTTACACAAATCTAAAACATTAGATTTCCGAGACTTAGAGGTAGGGAAAAAGGAAAATATGTAAGGAATTTAATGAATTTAATTGTCACTAAAATATTAAGTGTCGAAAATTAATACAAATAATAAATTTAATTTTATTAATTTATTTCATTGCCACGTGGCATTTTAAATTACAATTCGTCATTTGAGATTTCAATAAATTATTTTGCATAAAATACTAATATTTCACAAATTCTCTTTACGAAATTTTAATTAGAAAAATTTCTATAAGGTAATTCGCCCTTCTCACCCTCTCTCAATCGGTCTCAATCGCTTTCTCCCTTTTCCTTCAAAAAAACGCTGCACATCGTCTTGACATATCCGTAAAAACACGTCTTAGCTTATGATAATAAGTGATACCGCCGTCCATAGACGTTGCCAGAGGTCTCTGCTGCGTTGCTTTTAAGAATTGGTACGCCCTTTTCTTAAAAGAGCCTAAGTCGAATTGGTTCGGAAATACTTCAGTGGGCAGTTGGTTCTACAGTGGCGGTGCACGGCAAAATCCTTAATAAATAAATAAATCCTTTATTTGCCATGATAGTGGTACAAAATAAATAAAAAATCGAACAACAAGAAAAGTCCGCACAATCAGCCATACATAAACAGGCATGCAAATGTCATAATAAGAAGTCAAGTCATTTATGAGTAATTGTTAAACTTATGTTCTAAATATTCGGTCACGCCATAAAAACACCTTGGCTTTAAAAACCTACCTTCCTTATAATACGCTCAGTTGTGACTTGTGAAACGACGGAAATCAAATCGATACGAGAGGAATTTCTTATTCTGCTCAACGTCCGATAATGAAACTCAGCTGCAGTTTAAATTCGAACAACTCTTCTGTTCACTCTCCATGGTAAATGCAGTAGAAGATGCAGAGAATCCCCACATCGCAACACCAAGGGATCAAGCCGCTCGGAAATTGATTGGTCGTCGACGATTCCAACCGCTGGTTGATCGTTTGGCCCTTCTGTTCTACATAAAAAACACGACTCTTTCTTGTTCTAAACATGAATGTATACCAACATTATTTATCCTTCCAAATACACCACCACCATACAAATGATACCGTAACGTTTAAAAACCTTTAGAGACTTCTCCCGAACTATGAAGGATAGAAGATGATGGAGAAGATGTGGTTGAGTCTTGACAGAAACACCATGTACAATAATTGTCTTAACCGGTTTGAATGAACTCGCGTAACGACGATGCGTTTTGGTCTACAGGTGGTGTCCATAGAGATGGTGAGAAGACCTTGGATGTGTCAGCTGATCTCACCGAGCTGGGACGGAGTAAGACACTTGTTGTATGCAGTGGAGTGAAATCTATTTTGGATATTGGAAGAACTCTTGAATATTTGGTATGTAAGATGATAACTATTCTAACATCTCTGTCTGGCGATACAATCCTTGGTCTTGGGCGCTGATCTCTGATCACTTTTTCTACCAGGCAAGTAGGTTTTCGACCTTCTAGTAGGTGAAAGGAATGCAGGCTCCCCTATGTTATCCTTAAGTGAACAAGCGAGTGTATAAATGTACATATAATAAAAAGTCCATTGGCGCACAGCCGGGATTCGTACCTACGACCTCAGGGATAAGAGTTACACAAACACAGGCCAACACTGCTCTTATAGTTTGAGAAAATTTCAAACACATGCAAAGCGTGTACGTAATTTTAAGCGATACTGCCGCCCATTGACACTCTCAATGCATGAGGGCTCGCGAGTGTGTTGCCGGCCTTTTAATACGAGGGTCCTTCAGGAAAGGAGAATACCAATTCTGTCCTATATAAAAAATCTTATGCACCCATGGTTGTACGTAATTTACTTTACACACTTCTCTGTTTATGCTTCAAAATATATAGCTTTAACGAATACTATAGTATTATTATAGTAGTATTGCGACAAACTGATTAAAAAAAACGGGTCCTAGACCCCTTAAAACTATATTTCAGGAGTCTGTCAGTTCCGAGTTACATTTAACTTTTTTTTATGTAATAGGAGGCAAACGGGCAGGAGGCTCACCTGATCTTAAGTGATACCGCCCATGGACACTCACATAACCAGAAGGGTCGCAAGTGCGTTGGTGGCCAATTTACTGTATTTAATTTAAATATAAATAAATTAAGTAACTTAACAAAATGTTGGCATGATAATTAATAAATGAGTGTCTTCAAAATAGTAGTTAATTTAACTGTAATCCATTTTAAGTAATTGAGGTTTAACCTACAAAAATGAATAAAAATAATTAAAACAAATTCAAAAGTTTGGTACCTGTGGCAGTGTACCTTTAATGCAGCATTTCCTCGCTGTATTGTGATACTTATTCGTTGAGCGATGAAAACACCAGCTCTGGGGTCACCGGTACTATTTAGCTGCCAACATAATTACTTATTAGTTAAGCTGGGCCAAATGTTAAATTGTGTCTTTGTGGGCAATTTAAAGTTACGATCATGCTGTCGTACAGAAAGCTTGGATTGAAAATGAAACATACATCCGATATATCTTAATATAACTTACAGGAAACGCAAGGTGTAACTGTGTGTGTTTTTGGTGAGTCCAAGCAGTTCCCAGCTTTCTACACACGACGCTCAGGCTTCGAAGCCCCATACAACGTTGTTAATGCAAAGCACGCAGCAAGTGTGTTAAATGCTGCGAGGTCCATACATCTCTCTTCTGGCATTGTTGTTGCTGTGCCCGTTCCTGAAGAACGCGCGATGGACGGTAAGGAATTTTAATCCTTTTAGGTTATATCAGATGTTACAAAAGAACGGGATTTGTGCTTCAAACTCAAACTCAAAATAAGTGTATTATACTCAATATAGGTATTAACCAGTAGGTATTAACCAAGTACATTTATGAACGTTAATAGAAAAGATGTTAAATTGATTCTTAAGTCACATTTACTACCAGTTCGCAATTGCGTAGAGCGGGCAAGAAGAACTGGCAAGAAAACGTGAGTCATACAAATTGTTTGAACTGGAGCAAATCAATCCCAAGGTTTAGGATTATTTTGATAATCGTCAAATTTATAAAAACTAAAAAGCTTTATTGATTAATTTTAAGTTTATTTTAAATTTAGAGTTTTGAGATTGTGAGGCACTAAAAGAAGAAGAATAAAAAGCAATTAATGGAGTGTTTAATTTTCTACTCTTGATCTAATCTATATCTAATATATAAAATTCTCGTGTCGCGGTGTTTGTAGTTAAACTCCTCCGAAACGACTTGACCGATTCTCATGAAATTTTGTGAGCATATTGGGTATGTCTGAGAATCGGACAACATCTATTTTTCATCCCCCTAAATGTTTGGTAGTCCACCCCTAAATTATTTTATTTTTTATTTTTAGATAAAAGGTTTTTTTAAATTTTTTTATGATACAGCATTAAAAAATACATACAACCCCTAATTTTCACGATCAACCCCTATTTTTTATTATAAATGTATAATATAATATACATGGCAAAACGACGTTTGCCAGGTCAGCTAGTTTATATATAACAATAAATTAACATGAACTCGCATAATAATGGGACATATTATATAAACCTCAACAATTGTTTTATAAGAAAAGCAGATATACATTCAATATTTTAATAGAAAATTATGCTGCTGCTGACACGGCTCACGTGGTTGTTCTTAACTTTAACAGCTGAAGGTGCTACCCCATCAGCTCACAAGAAGTGGCGAAGAATTCTTCAAGCCCTTAATTAGTAGTGAGCCTGCCAGCTTTGAGATAATCCCACGACCTTCAACCTTTGATCCTACCCGTAAGGCTCCGTCTGTTACCTTAGGTCTCTTGGTGCAGACATCCCGTACTTTTTTATATTTTCACTATTTATGTGTAATAGGGTACATCTGAAGGGCTTAGGGATCCGTAGGGTTGTTATGTGCTTACGTCACACCCTCACATACATACATTTAGTTATCTACTGCAGCTTGCTAATACATAGATTACCATATAGATACTTCTGATATTTATTATATACTAGCTGATCCGGCAAACGTCATTTTGCCATGTATATCATTTATAATAAAAAATAGGGGTTGATCGTAGAGGGGTGAAAGTTAGGGGTTGTATGTATTTTTTTATGCTGTATCATAATAAAATAAAAAATAAGTAATTTATCTAAAAATTAAAAATAATAATTTAGGGATGGACTACCCTTAACATTTAGGGGGATGAAAAATAGATGTTGTCTGATTCTCAGACATACACAATAAGCACACAAAATTTCATGAGAATCGGTCAAGCCGTTTCGGAGGAGTATGGCAACGAAAACTGTGACACGAGAATTTTATATATTAGATAATTATATATTAAACACACATTTAACAGTCCGTTACCTGACAAGCACACCTACTTATAAAAGATCAATAAAGAAGATATGGAATCCGACATTTCCGATTTTCTAATCGAATATATTTTTTGCAGAAAAGAAAATAGAGACAGCAATATCAAATGCATTAAAAAATGCAATTGAAAAGGGCGTTCGTGGAAAAGAGATAACACCATTTCTCCTGGCTGCGGTGTCTGAAGCAACGGGTGGTGCCTCATTAGATACAAGTATCCTTTTTAACTTGAGTTTTCCATGATATTACCACGGAGTAATTTTCAAATTTACCTCATGAATGGACGTTTCCGATTTACGTGTCGGATTGACTGAAAAAAAAATTGGGTAATTCTGCCAACGCCTGCTGCTCTCAAAGCAGTGTTGTGTGCGACCCTCATCCGTGGTCGTGGGGTCGAATCACGGGTGTGCCCCGGACTTCTGTCTTTGTGCGATAAGGAAACCGTTACGCCATAGACCCAAAAAGTCAGTCGTGTATCAGGCACAGAAGGCTGTTCACCTATTCCCACTTGCCTCTTCTATCCCAAAACAGATACAGGAATCTGAGGTCTGAAAGGTTGCGCCACTGCTTGTTTTTTAATAGTCATCTCCTAATAGATATAAATTTAATTATATATTTGTTAAGATACTACTACATCTTTTCATATCCTGGATGTCTTCGTACTCGTAGTCTACAGTATCTTATATACCTTACAGTATTATTGTTACCACATTCCTTCAAAGACAACCAGAATATATTCCTTATATTAAATTCGTAAAGTACAATTATTTTCTAAACCATGAACAGATATCGCCTTAATAAAGAACAACGCTAAAGTGGGCGCTGACATCTCCATACACTACCAGAAATTGAGAATCAACGCTCCAATTCAATCGCGGGGGCTCCACACGTCGTGTCGTCGCATGAGTGATGTGCTGGTGATTGGGGGCGCGAATGTGGACAGGACCTACAGAATTACGGAGGAGAAGATACAGGTAAGTGAAGTTTTAGGTTACTCAACAGGAGGTTGTGCTGAATGCAAACTGACAGGAGGCTCAGTAACTTACAATCCAGACTTTAATAATAATAATAATAATTTATTTTCTCCCATACAACATTTGCAACAAGCAATAAGATTACAGTTGAGAAGGAGACTGGTTTCCAAACTAATGGATGGAAACTGATATGGATAACCAGGCTTCCATTCCACAGCAAAGTCATACTGAGTGGTAACAAAGAGTAGGTACATACATATATGGGTAGGCAAACAAATTTAACGGTTTAAATGAGGAAAGAAAAACAAAACAAAACAGTCGACTAGTTAGAAGTTAGTAGAAATAAAGGTGTATGTTTGGGTGTGTGGTGTGTGTGAGTGTGTGTGTGTGTGTGATGGAGGGAGAGGGTATGTACGTGTGTGTGAGTGAGTGTTAGGAGGGTGTGTGTGGGTATGTGTCAATAATAAAAAGCCCGTTTAATTTCCAATCATTACAAAAGTAGAAGATACAGCTTAGGTTTGTTATATTTTTTTTCTTATTACCCTAGTCTCTTAGCTTCCTTCAGTACCATTGATTGGAACCCCTTCATGGGTAAAGACCCCTCCAGCTACTCAAATATCTCTGTCCATGGCTTTCTTTCTCCGTTCCCTTCTTCCTAATACTTCTATTACTTCTATCCACCTTTATTTGGGGCGCCCTCATCTCCTTCTTCCCCTTTATCCTTTCCATATAGGTGTCCTTAAAGTCCATCTTTTGTCTGTGCATCCTGCGATCCAGATTTTAAATTTACGAAGCTTTTAAACGATTTGGAAAGTCATAAACAAAGCTTTTCTCAAAAGGAAACTCGCGACCGTAAAATTCAAAGTTAAAACTACATTGTATACCAAAAAATTGGATTTGTCATACGGGAGATTACGTAAAGTATGAACTACTGCGCTAAACCTCAACTCTTTATTTTATTCTGTGTCCATGACCAAATTTCAAAAACTTTACTTACTTTAAGTTGGGATGTCAAAATAAATGTCAAATTTTGATACTAAATTATGACGTTATCTAACTGAAACTAGTTTTTTTCAGTTCACTATTGATGACACTCGACAATCTACGCGAAAAAAAGTGGTTTTACAATTTGTAACCGAAATAAATACATCTTAAGAAAATATACTATTTTTCTATTTACCACTCCGAACGGGGACCTTTCTAAATAAAGAGTAGAAACTTATTTGATTGGCCCACTTTATTGACATTCATAAACAACTCGACAAATAAAGTAATTAAACAAACCTATTTCATTCGAAAATTTAATTCATTTATTTCCTATTTTTACAGTAACTTAATACTAACACAATGGAAACCTTATTGATATAAAAATTAAACTAACATAATATAAACAAAACAAGAAAACATAAAACCTAAACCTTTTTATAACTAATTAGAAATAATGCAATTCTTGTGAATTCAGCCAGTGTGCAACTAAACATATCCGTCTCACATACAATAATATTCAGGGTGCGCAAGACACGCGTAAATGGCGCAACTCAGAGTAAATTTGTACGCGCTCGAGGCAGTGCAAGCAATTGCGGCCGCTTACCACGGCGAGTATGGTTATTTGGCACACGTAGCCCCAGTCTCTGCAACATTACCGCATTATATATAACCTCTAACCTTAAAAAAATGTACCCCTTACCTCTAACTTGTTGTAACCATACCCAAGACAAACAAAGTTAATGTATCTCGTAAATTTATTTTTTACTAAATTTATGGCTGGAATCCAATCTTAAGATTTTTTTTCAGTGTCCAGGGGGAACTAGCAAAAATTTTAAAGCGGGTTAATGTTTGGAATTGCTGTGTATATAGTTAATAAACTTACCTTTCCCTCGCAATATATTTATGAAAATATTATGTATGTATGCAAAAATAGTGATAAGTTTACTAGAATAGAACATACGCACAATGTTAATACACGGAACAAACGCAGGCTGCAATTTAACCGTATTAGACTATCTAAAGTTAGTAATTCTTTTTTGGGGAAAGGGATACTCTTCTTTAATAAAATCCCAGAGGCTTATCTCTTTATCTCTGCCTTTTAATAAATGTATGAAATGTATTAAAGAAAAGCTGTGTAAAATGGCTTACTATAAAGTTAACGACTATCTAGTTGATAAAAGGGCCTGGTATGCTAGACTTCTAATTAATTTGCGATATTTGTTTTAAAATAAGTGTTGTTTGATGATTTGCTATTTTAAAAGAGTACCGAGAGTTTTTTACGCCGGCTTTTTCTCTCGGCCTACACTCTGTCTTCTTTGCCGATGAGTAGGGATGTCTACCGATACAAATTTAATGACGTGGAATAAGTGATACCTGTATCTTATATTCCATAATAAACATATTTTTTTTGTGTTTAGTATCCACATAAAAATAAACGAAAATTGTCATTGGATTCTTTGTCCCAAGTTTTGAATAACTGTTAGACGTTGTTATTTATTTTTGTTCTATCACAAAGAAAGTGCTCTTGTCGAGAGCGCTTCATAAAGAACACTCGAGTTTTCAAACAAACTCGTGATTTTATTTTAGGAAAACAATGTATGCAACACTACAGTTTATGAAAACATCGAAGATCTACCAAAAACTGTGACGACTCATTGGTCTAGTGGTTAGTAGACTGCGAATCCATGGGTCCCGGGTTCGATCCCCGGCTGAGACGAACATCGATGTGATGAGCATTTGGTGTTGTGCTTAGGTCTTGGGTGTTTAAATATGTATTTATATGTCTATCTATCTATAATATGTATGTATATCCGTTGCCTAGTACCCATTCCACAAGATTCATCAGCTTAGCATGGGACTAGGTCAATTGGTGTGAATTGTCTTTAAAAAAAAAAACTATTCTTCTTCTATAGAGCCATGTCCTGTCGAAGGAGATCATCATGCCTACTTTAATTATGAATGCTGCACTTTTGAACCTTGACTTAACCACCAAACTTGTGTTCGGTGGAAATTTAAATGATTTAATTTGACTTAAAATCCTACGGCTAGAGCAGTGTTGGCCTAGTGGCTTCAGCGTGCGACTCTCATACCTGAGGTCGTAGGTTCGATCCCCGGCTGTGCACCAATGGACTTTCTTACTATGTGCGCATTTAACATTTGCTCGAACGGTGAAGGAAAACATCGTGAGGAAACCAACATGTCTTAGACCCAAAAAGTCGACGGCGTGGGTCAGGCACTGGAGGCTGATCACCTACTATTCAATTTAAAAATGATCATGAAACAGATTCAGAAATCTGAGGCCAAGACCTAAAGAGGTTGTAGCGCCACTGATAAAAAAAAAGTTCTACGGCAACCAAGAGACTATAAAAGAAACAGAGGTAGGCAATGTAAAAGGTGGGCCGATGAAATCATAGAAATGGCTGGAAAGTCTAAGACCTGGACCAGATTGGTATACATTAAGGAAAACTGGAGGACAATGTCCTTTGCCCTCAGGCACGCAGAATCGGTTATCGTAGATTAAAAAAATACATATTATGTATATATTTTTTATTTCTGATATAGGCTGGGGCAGAGGGTACCAGCGTAGAAAACCTGATCGGTCCTGGGCAGCTCTCTTAATTTCACTCCACATCATTCCAGCTTCCTTCGCCTCTGCAATGATGCTTCTTTTTGCCTTAACGATTCCAGTCGAGGGTTTGCTTGGCAATGTGACTCGGAGCGTATGGCCCACCCATATATACCTTCGGCGTTTTATAGACCTGTCAATTCGTACCTCATTGCTAAGCTCTCATAGCTGTTGCAGCAAATATATTATTTATTATATATTTATTTATTTGTGATTCCTAAATAGACGAACTCTAACTGAATTGTTTAATTTGTTTAACAATGTGTATTAAAATAATTTCTCATCACAGCATTCACCCGCATTTTCTTCCGAACTTTGATTCTATAAGGTCGAAATTCATATCATTTGCAATCACTCGGCGATAGACGCCCCCGCCGCCTGATTGACATTATCATTTCGAAATTTTAAATAACTTGCTAGATTTACCAAATGTTTTAAATCAAGTTATTTTATCTTGAAGAGAAATACAAGAGACCTTTTCGTTAAAAATCTTATATGTAAAATTCTCGTGTCGCGGTGTTTGTAATTAAACTCCTCCGAAATGGCTCAACCGATTTTCGTGAAATTTTGAGTGCATATCGGTTAGGTCTGCAAATCGGACAACATCTCTTTGTCATCCCAATAAATGTTAAGGGTGGTCCCTAAATTTTATTTATAATTTTTTAGACAAATTTATTTATTACACAACATACAAAAATACGTACAGCCCTTAATTTTCACCGCTCTACGATCAAACCCTATATTTAATTTAGTAGATAATTATTTTTAATGAACTAAAGTAATGTTTCGTAGAAATAATATACACGGCAAAACAACGTTTGCCGGGTCAGCTAGTATTTTTCCAAACGAAACGATCGAAAGAAAGATGAAGTTGCTTGTAAAGAATATTTCTTCGCCGTCTAAACCTAATACTAACGAGTGTAAATGCGTCAGAGACTATTTTTGATTGAGATATATTGTGTAATAAAGGTCCGTTGTGCTGTCCTGGATAACTAAAGCGTAGGTTTCCTAGAAAAGCGGTGCCGTTATCTAACGGCCGTAATTTTACGGTCGAGCGAAAATGATTGTTTTTTTGCATTATGTTAAAAAGTAAAGACGGCCGTTATTAACAACCGTAAAATGACGGCCGTTAGTTAACGGCACCGCTTTTCTAGGAAACCTAAGCTTTAGTGAATGTATTTCTTTGAGAAAATAAAGTATCTTTGAACCGAACCAAAGACACAGTTCTATGTTAAAAAATAAAGTAAGGAGTTAAAAATGAAAGAATTTTTAACAAACTTTAATTAATGCATTTATTATGATAGCTCTCAGTCGCCTAGTGCGTACCTTCGGAAAGTTGCAACAAGTATTAAATAATCATCTGTTAAAATCACAATTATAGACACAATAAAGCTCTCAAGAAATAGAGAAAAAGAAATTACAATTCACACTGTCAATTGTCAAAATTGACAAAGATGACAAGCATCATACTAATAATAAACATTTACATAATTAAATTTATTTATATGTTTAAACATATATTTCCATTGTCATACATATACTATTATAATTTATCTCAATTCATGAAACTCACATTTGTATGAATATTGCTACGTTATTATGTTAAACAAACTTTGACCTATTTTCCAAAAGCAAATTATATACTCGTTCTGATGATGCTAAAATAAGTCCCTTAATGGCAGATAGAGGCGTAATTTTGAGTTATAATGCACAGCTTAGTAAGAAACTCCAAAGTTTGAAAAAGTAGAAAGTTTTAGCGACATCTGAATTTTTACATATTATTAAAACATTTTTTGTATCCAATTATCGATAAGTTATTCTTTATTCAAACCTGTCTATTGTCAAATTTATAAAATCATACAGAATAAAATAAAGTTTATTATCTTTCACACTTGTCAATTGTCAAATTATTTATTTTCATTATACATAGTAAAACATTATTAAATGCATATACATCTATATTTAAAACGTCGTCTTAAACCATTAATAACTCAGGAAAGGCTGGACCAATTTTTATGATATTTGATTTAGTCTTCGTCCGAAATAGGAATTATTCATCAATGAAAAGATATCATAAATCATTAGTCTAGCCATTCATTTATTATGGTCTAACAAAACACAACTGACAGCTCACAGTCTATGGTTTGAAAATACCGCCAAAACTTAATAATTTTATAACTATAAAACTGTACAATGTACATGCTGTTAGGCGAAACGAGGTTCGCCAGGTCTTTAATAATCTTCACAGATAAACTTTTCTGGTAAAAGATTCAAACCCGTTCAGTAACAAAAGAACTTCTCTTTATTCGGTTTAACCGATTTTTAAACGTAAAATGTTGTTTATACAGCGTTTATGACCGTATCAAGCCGGACGTCCGGGCGCGTTTAAAATATCTGTAAACCGCCTTTTGAAATATATCCCTAAAAATACATATTCTTACCAGAGAATTAGTAATGGATAAATTGCGATGTGGGCAATGCAAGCATATTGCAAGTAAAGCGTTAAAAATTGAATCAAAGTCAATTTATGGCTTAGGCCCGTATTGGACGTTGACAAGCTGAAACGAACAAACGAACTTAATTTATATGAGTGACATGATGGTAAATAGGCAAGAGAACCTGAACACTAATTAAATCAATAATTTTATTTATCTACACACCTTTTTCCCGAAGGGGTAGGTAGAGACGACGGATCTCCACTTACTACGGCCCCTTCCTCTCACGCTTTATCTCCTACAGGACATTCACCATGCATGGTCATGTTGGGTACTTTTAACTACTCTAGTAAGTATTTGGCCCGGGTAAGACAAGGGCTACCCATCCCGACTACAACATCCACGGTTGCATGTATAATGTATATCCTACTATACGCTTCTCATTCATTCTTAACAAATAAGTATTATTAACTATAGAATGTTGTTTGTCTTAGAAACTTAAAAAAAAAAAGTGTGGCACTCGGGGACTGCTGCGGTAAAGCTATTGCATAGCATTTTTTATCAACTTATAATTATTTATTTATTTTTTATTTATGCAGTATTTGTTTTTCTTTGATATTAATTCAAGTTTTTTCTTTGATATTACTTCAATCTATTATCTACCACTCTACCAGACTCAGACTAAAACGCCTATATAGTCTGTCTCACTCTAACGCGTACCGGCTGCACCGGCCGCGCTCACGCTACGCCACCGATCTCATCAGAGAGATGGGAATGCGCAATATGCGTTCTGTCCCACTCTAACGCGTATTTGCCGCACCTATATTACGTCAACGTGTGTTATGTATTTTTCGTTACGGAATTTCTTGATTCGGTCGCCGCGCTCAAAGCCCGCGATAAAATCTATGCAATAGCTTAAAAACTATTGTAAGCCAAGTTAAACACAAGAACGAGAACGTTTGATGTACCTTTACGCTAAGGTCTACAGAAAATATATCTTTCTTCTGTTAAATGTTATCCAGCTTTGTCAATTCCTATCGGAGACTGCTACTGACTACTGCTTTTTTAAAACAAGAAACGGAGTATGAAGCTCACCTGATGTTAAGTGATACCACCGCTCATAGGCACAAGCTGCCAGAGGGTTGTAAAGATATTTTTTTTTAGTGTAGGACGTCCGGCTTGTGTAACACACTGTACATGGATAAACCAAGGCACATTTCAAATGGAAGCAGGTTAGATTTGATCCTAACTACAAATTATTCAACTTTCCGAATATACTTTGATTAAGATTGGTAGTGACAACAATATTAAAAAACTATGTTTCCGCAATCAGAAAATATACTCTAAGCACAGGAATAAGACACTAGAAATCTGCTTTCAATTTCAATAAATCACAAAGATTTATGAGCCATATACGTTCACTGCGACCAGCGTATGTATGACATGGCCAAATGACCAATCTTTAATCTTTAAAACCAATGTCACCTATGGAAAGATTTCAAAACGCACGAAGAATTTTGAACCTTATGCCCACAGTTCGATAATTCCTTGATTGAATTATCGAGTCTTGGACTTTGCTCATTTCTAGTATCTTATTATCTATGACCCTAAGCGAACGTAACTAGAAAGATTAGTACAAACATTTAGTTAATCTGTACATACAAGATGGCGCCCGATTTATAGACAATTCGCGCGTTAATCAAAGAACAGACCATTTGACATCCACATATATTTTGACATTTAAAGAAAAGTATTGAGCGTTCTGCAGCTCGCGTTTGGCTGTCTATGGAATTGTCTTTTATAAAAAAAAAAGTAAAAACAATTTAACAGAAATATTTACGACTCGTAGCATTTAGGATTGGTTTGAATATATAGAAATAACGTTCGAATTGTTCTGTAATCGGGCAATAACATTTACAAATATGTTTATGGTGGCGATTTAAAGAGATTTAAATATAATAGAACACTTGGGGACACTGACCTCTGATAGGTGACATCTCAAATTACTTGCAACCTTTTTGTAAAATTTAAACCACAAATATTATAACGAGGTTCAAATTTCACTGTGTTTATGTAATGGGATTTATTGCTATGAATCCAAGCAACGGAATAAAAAATGTGAGTGTGTGTGTAACTACACCTTTTTAAATTCAGTAATTGTGAAGCCAACTTAATTAATTTATCAACAAAAGAATGGATATCGTTTCGGTTTTTGTAAAATAATTTTTTATTTTAGTTATATTTTTAAGGAATTTTAATAGTATTTTCGATTACGTTAGGATTACTATGTATATTTTATAAACACACAAAAATATTAGTAAAATAAAATGTATTTTATTGTAAAAATAGTCAATATTCAAACTACTCCTGATTATGTTATGTATGAAAAGAAGTTTGGAAAATTCTGCGTCACCGCGCTGTGTATGCTTTTTAGACAATTAAACTATTTTACCTTGACACTGTTCGAATAATACTTTTATTCTTCAATATCAAAATGATTCAAATACGTCATCAACACAACAAAAAAGTTTGCAATGATGCGCTGTCAATTCCCATTAGCACAGACTACCACAATTGTATCCCTAATGACAGTATATTTAAATCTCTTAGTATGAGGTCGTACTATGAACGTGTAAACTGTTGGTTCCTATAAAATCGTAAAAGACAATACTGTGTCTAAACTTTTATTTACTGTTACTACATTCGCACTAAAGCTGATTTGACAAAAGCTCTATCGAGTTAAAAGCTTCGTGCGTCACAGCGTCACCAATCACAGCAAAGGACCAAACACAGAAGGCAAACGGCAAACGAACCCATGGAGACCCATTTTAGTGGGCTTTTAAGGGAGGATTATGCAAATTTTTGAGGTCGTATCCCCCAGGGAAGACATTGTGAAGCGGACCGTTGAAGACTTCCATCCATCAAGCATTTGATACACTTTTGACAAAGGATCACAGTTCAATTATGCAGCTTGCTTTTGATACAGAGCGATTGGCCAATTACAGTCAAGGAACGTGAGAATTTTGAAAAGGGAAACTCTGATAAACCAGCCAACTTTACTGTTTTTGTAAGAATGACAGTTTACGATATGCGGCATAAAAGCAACAGCTTATCTGTGATTGGCTAGTTTTTTCTAATATATATTCTATCTGTATATATTTATAACAGTGTCACTAAGAGAAATTCGACTTCAATTCCAAATAAAAATTAATAAATCAGTGGCGCTACAACCCTTTCTGGGGCAGGGCCTCAGATTTCTGTATATGTTTCATGATCATTCGTCAATCTAATAGGCAAGTATTAGCCTCCTATGCCTGATACACGCTGTCGACTTTTTGGGTCTAAGGCAAGTCGGTTTCCTCGTTATGTTTTCCTTTGCGAATGTTAATAGCGCACATAGAAAGAAAGTCCACTGGTGCACTGAGGATCGAACCTACGACCTCAGGGATGAGAGTCGCACGCTAAAGCCACTAGGCCAAATATTTTAATGAAACCGACACTGAGTCAACACTGCTATCTATTAAGCAAGACAAGAATGCAACTGTAAGGTCTTTGATTTTGTCAATAATGAAATATATTTAGTGCTAATGTAATAACATTGTCTAAATATTTATTCTCAAAGATTACCACAGCCTTCTAAGGTTGTTTAATCTGTACAGAATTTTCTACTGTTTATTATTTGCAGTAAACAAATGTTCGTAAATTGTTTTATTTAAGCATTCTTTATCGTAGGCACTACGTCATATAAGCTCATATTATCAGTATTGTGTCTTTCTGTCCATGCAATGTTACTTCTAATGTTACGTACAATTTATCCTAGTATTTACATTTCTTTACGAAACGCCACTAACGATGTATTAAGTTCCACTTTTAGAGTGAAGTTTGACGAAATCTCTAGTGACTCACTTCACGTCAATGTCGCTTGGGCGTCTATGGAAATGTTAGGCTCTGTATTTCGCGTAAATAAATATATTCAGTGAATACAGTAAGAAACTTTTTAATATCATTGAGACGAGGATTTTATGTTTACGACACATATAGAAGGATACAGTCAATATAACACCTAATACATCGAAATTTTAAAAATTTAATTGGAATGTTAAATACGAAATACGTAAAATTACTGAAATGTTAAATTCTAATAAAAAATTTACAATTTAACCGCTAGTTAAAATCGCATATGAGTCTAACCGCTCAATGAATTAAAAAGTACTTTACATTGAATATTTAATCCAACTGGAACTGCCATGCATAGGAACTAAACACAAGCTTTGCTCGTGGAAAAAAACCGTTCACTTCGAAACACCTAAATCTGTCTATGATGTTTCTAATGATACTACAACATCAAAACATCATGTAGTCTGTATTCTAGATAACACATAACCACACTAAACAGCAGTGGAACTATTGAAACTAGTGGCACCATTTATAGTTCAAACTCGGAGCGTGTGTGACGACGGTGGTCGAGACATACTCTCGCGGCTGAGCGGTGTGCGCATGTGGGAACGCTGCGCGCCCGGGGCATGTCCATCTCGAAGCCTGCAGCGGGGAACGACCGCCACCGCCGCCCAAACAACCGCTCCAGGTAACATCTTAGTCAGATTCTGGTCGCCGCACTGTCCGCCGCCAAGGGCCTGTAGTCGCCACGCGCCAGCTCACGCATCTCGCAGTTGTTGTTGCCGTTCACGGTTTTCGGTGCTAAGGATTCCTCATGTATGCTGCGTCTCGAACACGGTTCCGAAGCCCTGCCTAGCAATGCCTCACGTTCACTTGCTCTTTCTGGACTTCCACCGTGAGTACGAACCCCTCCGTTGGCGTTTACAGCATTCACAACTATGGTTTGAGACAAAGGTCCCCCGTGTAATGGGCTACCGTCTAAAAGCTCGTCGGCACCCATTTCGGTGCGAAGTATCCTAATTTTCTGAATCATTTCTTTAATTTCGCATCTAAGAATTCCCAGGAAACAAAATTTTAAGAATGCAATAACACAATAGCCCAAAACGAAAAGCGCGTCAGCTGTTTTCCTGAGCCAATTAAGTAACCTTTCGGCGCAAGCGGCGGTATGTGGTATACAATGAACTGGGGTAAAGGAGACTGGTGAAGTAGCTGGCGTGGAAAATGTAACCGGGGTGACTGCCGGCGTATGTGCTGGTATTCGACAGCAGCTGGGTGGCAAAATGGTTCGATTGAACGTTGCAAAATCTGAGGGCCCCGTGACGCCGCAGCAACTTTGCTCTCGCTGCAGGCGATCCCAAGCTTCTGAGAAATCCACGTCGTTGTCGTAGTCCTTCGCGAGCCTGATTCGCAGCTGCGGTCGTAGCTCTCGGCAGACGCGCTCAAAACGGAAGACCCAGTAAACCCCGATAGCAGCGTCGCCTACCAGCAGAGCCAGAAGTGCGAGCCAGTAGGCGTTTAGCATGCGTTCCGAGAGGCGTAGAGCCGCTAGGCAGCCGAGCAGCTGGAGCAAGCCGGCTTGAACAGGGAGCGCTGCGTAGCCGTAGAGGAAACCGGGTTGCGCAGCGCCGAGGCCCGGGACCAGCCCACGGCGGTAGTCGGCTAGCGCGCGACCGGCTGCAGCACAGAAGGCGAGGGCTCCCAGCAGCAGTGCCCCGTTGCAAGCGTAGATCCAAATGCGGTAGTAGCGCATCGCGCGGTGCGCGGCGGGAAGTTGCGCGGGGCGCGCGGGCGGCGGCAGCGTCATGGTGGCACGCGCCGCGTCATCGCGCCGCCCGCGCGCGCGCCGCCTCCACACGACGCGCCCCACGCCTCTGTGAATGGAAATAATACTTGTAACTTGGGTAGGAGAAACTCTCAATCCTAAGGTCTTGTGCTAATGGATAACGACATACCTATGCTAGATCTAAGAAGGGATGCTGTATGCACAGAAGGCACATCCATCACGTACTTGTTTTAAAATAGTTACTAAACAGACGGAGCGATGTAGGCATAAATTTAAGTTTGATGTAATATTATGTATAAGATATAAAAACGTTTATTTATTCTCTCTGTTTTTTGTAATGGTTTCGCTTCGATTTTCTATTAATTGTATTTTTTTTAAACTACATACTTATTTTCTAAGGAATTCAAAATTTGTATTGTGATGTACCTAGTCCTTCAAGCACCAAGGCTAAACTCCTTAGTTGTTGTTTTCTGGCCTTTTAAATAATATGTATATTAAGCAATATGCTACAGAACTTAATTAAAACTGCGACTTGTATAAAACAGGAATATCAAATAATTTTCAGAGTCCGATTACGACATGATTCTAAACTGTAAATTTATTACACCACGTTCCCTTGTCAATAAAATCTTCAAACTCAACAACATTTACGTATCCTTCGGAAATAAAAAATAATATAAGAAATGCACGTACGAATCCTCGCGTGAAGTTCATACATTATTTAGCTGTAATCAAAAAAGTACAGCCATTAGATACAGCGGTTATATGTATATACTAAATCCGAAGCTGCGCTAATGTTATATATGACATGAGCATTTTATTTGTTAATATATATAGCTTCATATCACATATATATATAAAACATATGCATATAAACGTCGCAATACAGCGCAATATGCCAAAGGGCGGAACTTTAGGGTTCTAGCTCTCTAGAGACTTTCTCTAGACAACAACCTCCTTATATAAAGTCATCCTAATGCCCATTTGGAGATATGGCCTTCAACTGAGAGGCAGCACAAGTGATACCAACTCATCTCCTACTATCATATATATTCCATCATATATACTCCAGCGACAACAGAGCAAGATCCTAAGAGCAATTGCAAAAGTACCATGATCTAACCACGAACACCTTGAAATGAGAACAATCAAAGAATCTGGAGGCTGGCAATACAAAGAGCGGTTCATCTGTCACCCGAACGAACTTGCTCGCTACTTCACCATAGAACAGTATGTGAGATGACTAAAATGTCACCATATTCTAGAACTAGAAGACCGGCAGTAGCTCTAGGCAGCAGATGAGTAGATGCTTCCAGTGGAAAGACACTCCACGTGACAGCACCACAGCTCATGGCCTGTTTGCACATACGCGCAGAAGAAAAAAAACATGTGTGCATTTCACACGTCGTAAAAGTGAAACCTTCAAAATTTTTGGCTTTAAGATAATGAAACTAATGTAATTTTAATTTTTAATTAATATCAATGATTAATTCAAGTTTGAACGTCGATGAAAGCGTCGACAGTAAAAAGAGAGAGACACATAAATTCATAAGAATTAATGTGGGAGAAAATGAGATAGAAAGCCTTATACAGTGTATAAACGTATTTGGGTAGACGCAGGGGAGTTCGTTTATATATTATCATAGAATACATTGTAAATAAATAGCAATACTTTTCTGGGGTGATACATTTGACGTTCCAATATAACCTAACCCTTTCTGATAAATTGTCTTTACCATAAAGCTAAATTAGTACTAGGTAATAGGCTGTTTATTTCCGTGTTTAAAAGCATAGTAAGCATAGGAAAGGTGCGACGCCATCTTGTCTAGCCGGGCGGGTTCTTGAAATTATGAATTTTTAAATCCAATTTAAAAAAAACGGCTAGCCGGTTTCCTCGCGATGTTTCCCTTCACCGTTCAAGCGAATGATAAATGCGCACATAGAAAGAAAGTTCATTGGTACACAGCCGGGGATCGAACTTACAACCTCAGGGATAAGAGTCGCACGCTGAAGGTCAACTCGGCTGCTTATGTAGGTATAATAAAAGTATAAAAAATGCCTGACGCTATGTTTGTGTTTACGTAATTAAGTTTTGTAAATGAGGACAGTCGCAACATTAGTAAAGATTTAGTGACTGAATATAAGGGATTTTAACCAATTTTATTTTACGTCGATGTTTTTAAACAAAGTTAAAACTAGTTACACAAACTCGTGCCGTATTTATTACTTTTCCGAACAACATTAAGAAGGATGAGGGCATCGTTACAGTTTTTCAAAAGTCGAACTTTTTGAAACTCTTTTATTACTTACGATTGTATATCTTTAAATATATAAAACAAAGTCGTGTTAGTTACACAACTTATAACTCAAGATCGGCTGGACCGATGTTAGTTATCTCTTTTTTTGGTGGATACTTCTCCGCTCCGAATAGCGAAATAAGTAAAAAAATATCGGATAAGTTATCGAATAACAATAAATCTAATATATAAAATTCTCGTGTCGCGGTGTTTGTGGTTAAACTCCTCCGAAACGGCTTGACCGATTCTCATGAAATTTTGTGTATAACTGAAATATTGTGTATAACTGAGAATCGGACAACATCTATTTTTCATCCCCCTAAATGTTAAGGGTAGTCCACCCCTAATTTTTTTTTAATTGTTAGATAAAAAAATTTATTTTAATTTTTTTATGATACAGCATTAAAAAATACATACAACCCCTAATTTTCACCCCTCTACGATCAACCCCTACTTTTTATTAATGATAAACATGGCAAAACGACGTTTGCCGGATCAGCTAGTAAGGGCCGGTTTTTTGATCCGTAGTTAACTCAACTATTGGTTAAAAATCCTTACTATTAGTTAAATATCAGCAAAATGCGTTTTTTGATCCGTGGTTAGAGCAACTAATGGTCTAATCTAACCATTAGTCAAAAAAGTTAACTACTCAGTATCGGAAGGTTAACAAGATGGCCGCTGGTAATTTATATAGTAACAGCTGTTTGTCACAGAAATCAAACTATGATAAATACGTTTATTACTATCTAATGATGAATTTAAACATAGTGAGATACTTTAATTAATGAGACGATGAAGAAGACCATAATATTATATTAGAATGTGTTAATGAGTGACCAAAAATATTTAGGCAACGCCACCCGCCATTAGAAACCTGGGATGATGTAGATTTTTGTCACCGTTACCCCCTATCGAAGGGAACAGTGCTCTGGATTGTTACTGAAATTGGGAATGATCTTAAACTGCCAATGAACAAGAGTATAGATAGCAGATCATAAAAACCTATTTTGCTTCTTATGATTGCTTATTTTATTATTTTGCTACAGACCCGCAGCAGTATATAATTAAGTATATTACTAATTCATTATGTTTTATTGCCTATAATATTAACTTATAATTATTATAAGTTAATATTATAGGCAATAAAATACATATGAATTAGAGTTAATATTATTTATATATTACTAATAATATTAACTTATAATTATTATAAGTACATACTTGTAATAAACTACAGCTACACATTAATAAGGGACCTATGATATTTTTTAGGGCTTTTATTACATATGTGAGTTAGCATCTACCTACTTTATTACAAGAATTTATAAATAAAACATGTGACTTGATTTATAAACTATTTAATTATAACTTAAATACAAACCATTTTTATTAAAAAAACATTACAAAATTTACATGAAACCCTAAAGTAGCAATTCAATATTTTCTAATTGTTTCTTCTTGCATTCCACCTCAATTTGATGCAACTCTTTTTGCTGCTACATATACTTATTGTGCCTTTCTTCCATCTGCTGCATCACTTTTTGGTGCGCCTCCTCTTTATGCAGTATGGATTTTTGGTGGGCCTCTTATTTGTGCAGCAAATGTTTTTGATGCTCTTCCTTAGCATATTTGGACAAATCATCCTCTCTTATTTGTTTTTGTTTCAAAAATTCCATTTTTTTATCCGTGTGGATCATAATCCACTTCCTTGTTTCCAAAGGGTTAAAAGATTTTTTCCTTTTGTTGTAGGACACAGCTGAATACAAGAATAAATATAAATATGTGCTTCACCTTTATTAAATGTATATTAAATTTAACACTTCGGTGTCTAGACCCATCTGAGTTGAAAACGTCACAGAGATTTCCAAGCTGTATCTTTTAATAGATTGCTTCACTGATTAGTTTTTGTGCAGGTTAGGACCTCTGTAATCTTTGAGAAGCATCATCAATTTGGCAGTTTCTTCTTTGGCGAAGTTAGCAGTACGGTCCCTTTAACAAAACATAAATGTATTACTTTCTATTACGAAACACAAGATAAACCGGAATAAATAACACGAAAATATGTTTGTACTTACTTGTTTGACCGTTGGCTGTTTGCGGACATCATTATTTATATATTTTAGTATCGTAGAAGGTGTAAACCGTATTAATATACAGAAAAACAACTATATTTATATCGTGTTATTTAGATTAATTTGACACTTCAAACTCTTCAAAGCGCAAATAACGAATGAAGATGGCAAAAATGGATTTCATTCACTCAGTGTGTCTAGTGTTGTCATACAAAATAAATGTTCCCCACAAAAAGAACTACATTTTTTGGGATGTCATTGTTCATTGCACTGGCAACAAATTGACCAATTGTTAAGTTTAACTATAGTTAAAATAGACATCGAAAAACGCATTTACGATTTTACTAATGGTTAGTCATTTAACTATAGTTAATGTAACAAATGGTTATACCATTTTTACTACGGATCAAAAAACTGGCCCTAAGTAAATAAATTTTACGAATGCACACAGCATGTGGTGCCATCCATTGACAAAACTACGCATAATTTTAACGTTGAATTCGTGTCAAGTAATTCCGATCTTGAGGTGAATGAGGAGATGCATAACCAGGCTTTGATCTTGATCGAAGACATGTGTTACCTCATCAAAAAATGTTGTATATCAGAAAGTGCTTAACATGCAGTATCGCAATATTGGCGCTAAAGAGAGAAG